AGTTAAAATAATTAACAAACCTCTTTTAAAAAGGCCCTTGCATATGCCCTAAACAAACTATTGAAAAATTTATGTGTAGAATTGTAAACTCGCCGCTTTTGCACCCATGCTAAATATATAAATCAAACTAAAAAATCACATATTTCTTTTTTTGTATTTTTTTTTTTTCAAATTTGTGTCGCTTTTTTTGATACTTTTTTATGTATATGCAAAAAGAATCTAAAAGTAAAAAATTTTAAAAATTCAAAAACCAAAAAAATAACAAAAATGATTTAGACCTCTAAAAGAGGAGCTCTAAATGAGTATTAAATTATCTTTTTTTTCTTCCTGTTTTGTCTTTTACCTTTTTTTTTTCCCTTCAAAATGTATATGCTAACTCAGAGCAGCTCTACTAGTGCTATGTAGCACTGCTGAAAAAATAAAGTCAAAGAAAGCCAACTCTTTTGATTTTTTGAATTTTTTTTTTTTTTTGGTGGTAAAACACAAAAAGGTAAAACCTTTTAGAAAAAAATCACTTTTTGTCAAAAAAAAAAACAACCATAATACAGATACAGCTATGAGCAACGATCCTCTCCTTACCTTCCTACTTCATTTTCTCCTTGCAATGGTCAAGATTCAGTCCATCTTATCCCTATTCTCCTCTGCACCACTTTATTCTGTTGTTGTTGTTTCGAAGTACTTAAGGAGCAGCTTTCAACCAAATCATCATAGTCCACGTAAGGAGGCAAATCTATGAGTCCTGCTTGATGTCTGCCACGTCACCCAACAAATCATTGTAATGTTGTTCAATTTCCTTCGCCGATTTATTGGGTAGTCGCGCCGCAATCTTCTCCCACGTTTGTGGAGTCCAGTTTTCATCATCTGGAAAAAACTCCACAAGCGCCAACTCGAATTCCTTGTCCTCTGTTCTCGTCCATGTCGAAGAACTCAAAGAAGAGTCTGATTCAACTATGAATTTCTTCCAAGAAGACATGTTACTTTATACATATGATACTAACCTTAAAGACACCATATCTATACAACCCATGTTTTTGTTTATGGGAATGTTCCTGTAATGTGATCAAGATTATGACATACATGTATATATGATTTAATCCAAATTGTTATCTTTATCGCGAAGGAAAGATCCTTGTTTGATGAGAGCTTTCTTTATAGTTTGAATTAATTGGTTGTTCCTATCCAATAATTGAATCTGAATGACTTTCTATTCACTTGATTTTTGGGTCATAATCCTTATGTAGGAGAGATAGTCAAGTGGTTCAAGGCGGAGCATTGAAACTGCTATGGAAATTTTTGTTTACTGAGTGTTTGAATCTCCCTCTTTCCGTACCTTCACCTAATGTACCAATGTCACTTACCCTAATATATCAAATAGCAATAAATACCATTATTCCAATGGTTAGACCTTTCTTTCATATAAATTCTCTATTTCAAATTGCTATGGCACAAAAAATACTGAAACTGAAAGACAAGGAATGAAATCTCCTTGCTGGTGAGGTTTAGGATGGTTACTGATAAGCTATAGGTTTGGTAATTGTTTTTTTTTAGTATTTATTATTATTATTATTTTTTTTTTTTTTTAAGT